TCGCCAAAGAGTTGTGTGACTTTCTACATAACAATAGTTTATTTGAGGATTTTTAGTCAGGATTTTTTAAAGGTCATCACAGCACAGAGACAGCTCTGGATAAAGTTAATAATGACCTTCTGACTGCTTCTGACAATGGACTTGTCTCTGTACTTGTATTATTAGATCTTAGTGCTGCATTTGACACCATTGACCATAATATTCTTTTGGGGAGACTTGAGCATCAAATTGGCATTAAAGGAACCGCACTAAGCTGGTTTAAGTCATATTTATCAGATCGCTCGCAGTTTGTACATGTTAATGATGAATCTTCAATAAATACTACAGTTAGTCATGGAGTTCCACAAGGTTCTGTACTTGGACCAATACTATTTACTTTATATATGCTCCATTTAGGCAACATTATTAAGAATCACTCCATTAACTTTCACTGTTATGCAGATGATACGCAGTTATATCTATCAATCAAACCCAATGAAATTAATCAATTATCTAAATTACAAACATGTCTTACGGACATAAAATCCTGGATGACCTGCAATTTTCTGATGTTAAACTCAGAAAAAAACCGAAATTCTTGTTCTTGGCCCCAAAAACCTTAGAGACTCATTGTCTAAAGATATAGTCACTCTAGATGGCATTAACTTGGCCTCTAGCACCACTGTCAGGAATCTTGGAGTTATCTTTGATCAGGATTTGTCATTTAACTCCCACATAAAGCAGACCTCTAGGACTGCCTTCTTTCATTTACGTAATATTAGAAAAATTAGACACATACTATCACAGACAGATGCAGAAAAACTAATCCATGCATTTGTTACTTCAAGGCTGGATTACTGCAACTCTTTATTATCAGGTTGCCCCAATAAGTCCATTAAAACGCTCCAATTAATTCAGAACGCTGCAGCACGAGTACTGACAGGAACTAGAAAAAGAGATCACATCTCTCCTGTACTAGCTTCTCTGCATTGGCTCCCTGTAAAATGTAGAATTGAATTTAAAATCCTCCTCCTCACCTATAAAGCTCTTCATAGTCAGGCCCCTTCATATCTTAAAGAGCTCATAGTACCCTATTACCCCACTAGAACACTACGTTCTCTGAATGCTGGGCTACTTGTGGTTCCTATAGTCTCTAAAAGTAGAACAGGAGCCAGAGCCTTCAGTTACCAAGCTCCTCTCCTGTGGAACCAGCTTCCAGTTGTGGTTCGGGAGGCAGACACCCTCACCACATTCAAGAGTAGGCTTAAGACATTCCTCTTTGATAAAGCTTATAGTTAGGGCTGGATCAGGTGAGTCCTGAACCATCCCTTAGTTATGCTGCTATAGGCCTAGACTATCGGGGGATTTCCCATGGTGCACTGAGCTTGTAGTATAAAATTTAGTGTAGGTTAGTGCATATTATAAGTAGGTTAGTGCATATTACAAGTTAGTCATCAATTAATCACACAATAATCACACAAAAGTTTAAAGTTTTCTTATGCACTGTTGTTTGTTCACACAGATAACTGGAAATCAAGTAGAGAGCACTATGTTTTAAGTAATGATGATTTTGAGTGTTAAGTAGAATAGATTTATATAAGCTCTCAAGGATGTTAATGAAGGCATGTGTTTTAAGTTTATATAATTTCATGATAAGCACAAACACAAGTTTTCCTAAAGCACCATGGTTATTTAGTAAAAGTTTGATTTAATGTGTGGAACATATAGAATGTGTGGTTGTAACACAAGTTTTCTTATCATAACTAGAAATGAGCACTGATTATACCAAATGTATGTGTGTGGTTGTAAGACAAGTTTCTTATCATATTATAAAGTTTATAAAGTTTTTAAAAAATACAGTAAAAGACATCTGTGACATAATGGTGTAAGGAAAAGGTAATAAATGGTTTTTAAAAAATAGAAGTACAGCAAACTAGATTCTAATGGTGTAATCATGATGAAAGGAGAATCAAAAGAAAGTGTCATGGCCTACTAGTGTAGGCCATGAAGCCTGTGGGTTCTGTGATAAGAACATAAGCCTGACGGGGCAGGCAAGTAAGACACCAGTAGGATGGGACGAGAGCAAAACAAAGGCAGGATAATTGGGCTGATAAGACAACCACTAGGATGGCGCATGGGCCCAACAAGAGCAAAATAATTGGGACCCACGTACTAGTGGAGATTTAGGGTCTTTTCAAAGTAGATATACACCATTATGTTGTGGATGGAAAAGGTAGAAGGTGGGCAGGACTTGTAACAGAGGGCAAAAGTATATAAGAAGAAGCTTTGTGAGGATGAATTCAGTCTTTCCATGGATGGCTTGGGCTTTGTTTGTCTGTTAAGATAATAAAGCTCTATTCTACTACCAACTTTGATGAATCCTGATTGTTATTTTTCCACCAGAAGAAGAATAACTTTTAGACTAATTTGGACTTAGAAAATCGTATGTTGGACAATCTTCTGATCAAAAAGAGAACTCATTCTGACCCAGACCCAACAAGCTCCTCCCTTCCTCTCTCTTTATGCACTCATTCATGTCCCATTAATGCATGTTACTAACTCCACTTCTTCCCCGGAGTTCTTGTGCTTTCTCGTCTCGCAGGTTCTCATGGATCCTGGTGGAGCCTCCTGCCATGGTCCTGCTTGACTGCCATTGCCAATACTGTTGTTGCTGTGCACCTGTCTGTCTGTCTGTCTGTCTGTCTCTCGCTCTCTCTGCCTCTCTCTCTCTCGCTCTCTCTCTCTCTCTCTCTCTCTCTCTCACCCCAACTGGTCGAGACAGACGACCACCCACTTAGAGCCGGAGGATCTGTCCTAGGTTTCTGCCTTTTAACAGGCAGTTTTTCCTTGCCCTTGTCGCCAAGTGCTTGCTCATGGTGGTACTGTTGGGTCTCTGTAATTAATGTTAAAGAGTTCGGTCTAGACCTGCTCTATTTGAAAAGTGTCCTGAGATAACATCTGTTATGAATTGGCGCTATACAAATAAAATTGAATTGAATTGAATTGAATTGCATGGTGACAACTTACCTTCCACCAGTTGAAAGCGTCCTCTGAGAGGTTGTGTTTTGCTGATAAAAATAGTTCAGCAGATTTGTTGGCACGCTGCAATAACCACTCATCTTCTACTAAACACGTGTCACAAGCACAGGGCTTTTTGTCCTGAAACTGGAGGAGATATCCTGAAACATGTCCTTTCAAAAACACACCAATGCCAGTGATACAGAGCAGGAAAATGAGAACCTTTGCTTTTGAATTCATCTTGGCAGTGTGATGATGAGACTGGGAAATGATCTGTGAAGTGTATGGTGAAATACACAAGTGAGTCTGGAGTCATGAATGAGGTGTGATTTCTTAATAAGCTATAATAATAAGAAAATAAGGCAGTTTGGTAGTGGAGAGCTTGCTACATAAACTCATCTTTTTATCAGGCAAATACAGCTGCCAGTCTTTATCAAATGAACATCACAGTATGACTTATTTCTTTCATCAGTAATTATAAAAACAAAAACTTTATTATAGACCTTTTTAACAGAAGCCATTTTGACATGCAATAGTCGGGTAAACACAGGTGTTACCAATTATACTAAATAAAGTTTCATCGTCTTTAATGTGGTAGAACCAGTTTCCAGTGAGCTGACATGTATAATAACAGCACCCTGACTCTGTTTGACCTGAATGGAACAAAACTGTAATTAGTATCATTGGTAACCTACTATTTCATGCCAAAATGACTGCTGTGAAAAAGATCATTTATCATTATCATTATTATTTGTATTTTTATTATTATATTATTATTTATTTATTTTAGAATGATTATAATACATATTTTATATATACCTGATCAGAGAGTAGGCTTATCCGCATCTACTCCAGTTAAACAGAGCGTCGGAGGGTGATGATGAGTTTCCAGTTAAGATCCGATTAATATGTTTTATAAATTCCAGGAAGAAGTATTTACAGAGGAGGATTGGTACATCTGTGGCGAAGATGTCCAAAATCCATACAAATGCTATGATGAAACATTTTCCGTGCAAATGTTCAGATATTTTCTCTCATTATGTGAATAATATATGCAGTCCTTGAAAGTTGCTGGTTTTGTTTACTGCTCCGGTCCCCCAAATTAAGAAAATCCGTTTTCTTCTGCTGCTACATCTCTAACAGTGCGTAAATGTGTAAATAACCACCAGTAAAATGATATATTTCCGTCTCTATTTGGATCTAATTTATATGCGGTCCTCCTCGTTGTCTTGCAGCGACTAAAGCAGTTCCATTATTTTTTCATTGACGTCAGACATCCCTCGGGACCCCCTTCAGCTCGGGGCCCTAGGCAATTGCCTGGGTTGCCTGCCCCGTTGCAGCGTCTCTGCTCCCAGCAGTGAAATCATACATCTGTGGGCGTCGTCAATACAGTACTGACTACAGTACTGAACGTTCTCTGTAGCTGCCCCCTCCCTCTGGAATCTCTCTCCAAACCCATCCGTGACTGTACCGACCCTCCAACATTCAAATCACTGACAAAAACACACCTTTTTAAAATGGCTTTTAAAATCTAGCTCAGTCCAATTTGTTTTTAACTTGTGTAATGTACTGTTTTATATTTCTTTACTGATTGATGTTCTTGTATTCTTCTTATATTATATTGTACGGTGTCTTTGAGTATTCAGAAAAGCGCTTTTTAAATAAAATGTATTATTATTATTATTATTATTACCAATATTTGAATTATTTAGGCCTATTGCTTCCCAAGAACCGATGCATCCTCCCACTAGTGGAGTGGTGTACCTGGCAACCACAGCCAGCAGTGTGTAATAATAATAAAAATAATAATACTTTATTATTATTATTTATTTATTTTTAATGTATTTTTTATGATTTAGAATTTTTGCTTTTTGTAGCAGTATTGTATTGTAGTATTGTAGCAAGGAAGAATTTGTATTAACATTATTATTTTCACTTAATTCCTGTAATAATATCTTGAGTCATTTATGAGCCACAATATACATAAAATCTCTGAAAATTAGGTTGTCACTTAAATTAATCAAAAAAGAATCACCAGTTAAAATGTATTAATACTGATTTTGTTTTGGTCCTACCTGATCAGAGAGTAATCCGCATCTACTCCAGTTAAACAGAGAGCGTCGGAGGGTGATGATGAGTTTCCAGTTAAGATCCGATTGATATGTTTTATAAATTCCAGGAAGAAGTATTTACAGAGGAGGATTGGTACATCTGTGGCGAAGGTGTGGAGAGGTGTGGCCTGGGCAAAGGTGTCCAAAATCCATACAAATGCTATGATGAAACATGTTCCGTGCAAATGTTCAGATATTTTCTCTCATTATGTGAATAATATATGCAGTCCTTGAAAGTTGCTGGTTTTGTTTACTGCTCTAGTCCCCCAAATTAAGAAAATCCGTTTTCTTCTGCTGCTACATCTCTAACAGTGCGTAAATGTGTAAATAACCACCAGTAAAATGATATATTTCCGTCTCTGTTTGGATCTAATTTTTATGCGGTCCTCCTCTGCGTCCTCCTGCTCCACACTGTGGCGAAGACAATAAGAAGAGAGAAAAGAACATCAGCTCTATCTCCAACAGGTTTAATATACACGTACAATATACTATATCGGAGGTTGAATATGTTGTATGAGCTAATAAACTCACTCTTATCCATCAGATCCATCCTGGCTAAACGTGTGCGTCATCCTCTCAGTCCGCATCGCTGTCCTCTGCCGACTCCGTGAGGAGCGACCAACCCAGACCTGCCCTTTAATTTGACTTTAGATATTGGTTTGAGGATATAAGCAAACTTACACCGGCCAATATTATGCTGGAAGAAATAAATGAATGATTATTATACAGCCTACTTTGTTAAAGAGTGGAGAGGAGAGAGGAAACATGTGCCTGCCTGCTGGAACCTAAATTTAATGTTGTCTGAACCAGCAAAGTATAGTCTATACAACCAATATGCAATATGCCTTTTTATGGCAGATGTGGCTTAATAACTGCAAGTTTTATATGAGGGGTCTGAGCTCCCAGCAGTGAAATTATACATCTGTGGGCGTCGCCAATACAGTACTGACTACCAATATTTGAATTATTGACTGCTTCCCAAAAACCAGTGCATCCTCCCTCTAGGAGTGGAGTACCTGGCACCCACAGCCAGCAGTGTGCAATAATAATAACAGTTGTGACTGTGTAGCAATGCTGGAGAAACAATGGTATTCAGTATTTATGAAAACTTTACATTAAACCAGCAACATTCAACTTTCCTTTTGTGTTCATTCAGGTGGCTCCTTTGGACAAAGGCGGTTGTGTTTCCACTGTCCCGTTTCTCTGATTTCAAGGTGAATCCCACCGAATCTGACCCAGTGGCAGGCATTAGGAATCACTAGAAATAAGCAATCTTCTCGCTGATGGTCTCTTATGCTTATGTAGGTCAGACAGAGGCATCAGTATTAAATTGAGACTGTTTCATAACCAGCTAAAAACTCCTTGTAGTAGGTTTAAGTTAAGAGGGATGTATCCATTTTAAATGATAATTTTCTGTTAAATTATTGGTAAGGGTGAATATCTATCATCTATCTAAAATGAGACTGAACTGTAAAAATAAACTCTAATGCGGACATCTGGCTACAGAACCGATTATTTGTTTCCACTGTGGTTTACTTCCTAATTTGTGGTTGTTAGGTTGCTTTACATGTAACAACATGTCAATTATAAATTCATCCTTTGCATTCGACCCATTCTGCTGTAACTATAAAGGAGCTGTTGGCAGCCACAGTGCAGTAAACCTGTGTGGTAGTGCAAATCCCATAGTCACGTACAGTAGGCTTTATTGTTCATGGAATGTGGGGCTGAGGAAGAAAGGAAATCTTTCAAATTATAATTATATACAAGGGGTGGCCAGAGGGTGGGCAAGGATTTTTGAGGGGGTCCATACACTAATAAAGGAAGTTATTGTGTTACTCCAACCTGGTCCCAAATGAACCCCCAATGAACCTTTTTTAGACCATTTTCATAACCAAGATGCATCTCTCTTCCTCTCTCTCACTCACTCTCTCTCAAAACACACACACACACACACACACACACACACACACACACACACACACACACACACACACACAGAGAGAGAGTTTCATCAAGGGATGAGAGTGACACCAATAGTGTCTCTCTCATCCCTATACAAAATGAGACAGCCTGGTCACATCTCAAGATTGTGTCAGGCAGAATCTTGAACTATTTTTTTCCCTTTCTCATGCTGTAGCTTACATTAAAATCAACTACTAGCTGAGTAAAACTGGATCATCTAGACTAGTCGGCACTAACTAACTGGTTTTAGACCTAATGGTATCGCATTATCCTTAAAACTAAACTTGTTATGGTTTGGTTTATTATGTCTTTGTTGTTGTGCTTTTCTTTTTGTTCTCTCTGTTTCCCCTCCTCTTTCTGTTCTCTTGCAGAGCTTGTGTGGGGAAGGGGTGTGGCTGGCTTCCTCCTGTTGGCACACCTGTTTTCACTCAGCCCATTCCCTTGACCTCATTAGCCCTGTCTCCTCTCCTGCTCGCTGTCAGAAGATTCCATGCTCCAACCCGGCATGCTGTTTATCTACTTTCCCAAGTCTAGTTTTGCCTGTTCAAGTCTGCTGAAGACATCCTCCTGCCAGCCAGCTCCCTGCCTCACCTGCCCCCTTCAGTTCCGGTTTTGTTTTTGGATTTCTATTAAAATATCTTCAGTTCCCACTCACCAGAGAGTGTGTCTTTGCTTTGGGGTCCAAGTCTCAAGTGAACTTAACAGAATCTTCTGACCAAGCATGGACCCCGCAGAGATTGGGAGGGTTAAACGAGCCCTCACCTCTCAAGGAACCTGTATGGGTCAACACGAAAAGGCTCTGGAGGAGATCATTGGTAAGCGGGTCCACCTGGCCTCCAGTTTTTCTCAGCTCGACGACCGTCTGGACCAGGTTTCTACTAAGCTTTCTTCGCTGGCGGCTCCTGTCCCATCTCCGGATCCACCTGTTCATTCTCCTCCTCCAGCTGCCTCCCCTACCCAGCCCAGTTATCCCTGTGAGCCCTTTATCCCTACTCCAGACAGGTATTCAGGCAAATTAGGGTCATGCAGTCAGTTTCTCCACCAGTGTTCACTAGTGTTTGACCAGCAGCCTTTAACTTACTCATCTGACAAGTCTAAGATTGCTTTTACTAGCAGTTTACTGTCTGGGAAGGCGTCAGCTTGGGTCGTGGCCATGGCTAACGCTAACTCTCCTGCTTGGCAATCATTCCACTTATTCTGCAGTGAGTTTCGTAGAGTTTTTGACCACCCACTTCAGAGCAAGGAAGCCAGTAACAGGCTTCTCTTATGTCAGGGATCTCTTTCTGTTGCAGCTTACTCCATAGACTTCTGCATTCTCGCAGCCGAGAGTGGGTGGGATGAAAGGGCCTTACAGGGGGTTTATCTGCGTGGGCTTAGTGAGGAACTTAAAGATGAGTTAGCTGCTAGGGATGAGACCTCCTCTTTAGAGGAACTAATTTCCTTGGCCATCCGTCTAGATAACCGTCTCTGTGAGAGATGCAGGGAAAGAGTAGCCAGATTTAGGGCCCCTCAGCACCCTGGTCCCATGGAACTTTGTCCACCTCCAGGGCCACCTTCTTCCAGTGCATCTCTTCCGGCTGCCTCATCCTCCTCCAGCAAAGGGGAGCCCATGCAGTTGGGAGGGATGAGGCTCACGCCGGCTGAGCGTCAACTCCGCATCCTCCAGAGACTCTGCTTCTACTGTGGTCAAGCTGGTCATGTCCGCGCTAACTGTCCCAAACGACCAAAAGATTTGGCTCACCTGCCGCTAGGGGGACGCTGGTGAGCCATACTTCAGTTTGTCCATCCCCCCCTCCAATCGCATTCAGCTTAAGGGAACTGTTTCCTGGTCTCAAATTAACATTCCTCTCCATGTCCTAGTGGACTCTGGTGCTGATGACAATTTCATTGACTGGCATAGTTAAGTCAGTTCTGGCAATCATCATGAAGCGATCTCTTTTTATCTCATTCCCTCACCATCTTCACCCTTAGTATTAGGACTCCCCTGGCTCAAGCTCCACAACCCACGCACTGACTGGTCCACATTATCTATCACCAATTGGAGTTTATTTTGCCACTCCCACTGTCTGTGCTCAGCCATCCCCACCACCATTTCTGCTCCTGTTCTCCCCAAGCCTGTAGATCTTGCTTCACTTCCCCTAGAGTATCATGACCTCCAGGAGGTTTTTAACAAGGATCATGCTTTGTCCCTACCACCTCACAGGCCATATGACTGCAGTATTGACCTGCTCCCTGGTGCCCCCTATCTCACCAGCAAGCTCTACAACCTCTCCAGGCCTGAGAGAGACTATGGAATCATATTTCTGACTCACTGGCAGCTGGTCTTATCCATCCTTCCTCCTCACCCATGGAGCAGGATTCTTTTTTGTTGATAAGAAGGACAAGACTCTACGGCCCTGTGTAGACTACAGGGGCTTGAACGAAATCACCATCAAGAACAAGTACCCACTTCCCCTCATTGACTCTGCTTTTGGTCCCCTCCACCAGGCCACCATCTTCTCCAAGTTGGCCCTACGCAATGCATACCACTTGGTGAAAATTAAGGAGGGGGACGAATGGAAGACTGTGTTCAACACTCCTCTGGGACATTTTTAGTATCTGGTCATGCCTTTTGGGTTAACTAACGCACCTGCAGTTTTCCAGTGTCTTATTAATGATGTCCTCTGTGATATGCTCAATAGGTTTGTTTTTGATTACTTAGATGATATTTCTTTATATTTTTTTTTTTTTTTTTTTTGCACCCGTCAAGAACATGTGCAACATGTCCGCCTTGTTCTTCAGAGACTTTTAGAGAACACTCTATGTGAAAGCTGTTCTGTCAGTTTTCTGGGCTTTGTGGTGGAGGAGGGGCAGATCAGGTCAGACCCTGCCAAGATTAAGGCAGTGGAGGAATGGCCCACTCCCAGCACTCGAAAGCAGTTACAAAGGTTTCTGGAGTTTGCCAGTTTTTACCGCAGATTTATTCGTGATTACAGCACCGCTAACCAAGTTAACCTCTGTTAAATCATCCTTTGTTTGGTCCCCTGCAGCCGAAACCACTTTTGCCAAGCTTAAAAGTATGTTCACTTCTGCTCCAACGTTACGTCATCCAGATCCTTCTGTCCAGTTTGTGGTGGAGGTCGATGCCTCGGACTCTGGTGTGGGGACAGTCCTGTCCCAACGGTCCACAGCTGACCAGAAGCTGCACCCCTGTGCAGTCTTCTCTCGCTGTCTTACACCTGCAGAGAGAAACTATGATGTGGGGAATCGTGAGTTGTTGGCAGTGGTGTTGGCCCTTCAGGAGTGGAGGCACTGGTTGGAGGGCTCTACTCACCCTTTTGTTGTATGGACTGACAACAAGAACTTGTCTTACCTCTGTTCTGCCCGCAGGCTCAACTCCCGTCAGGCTCGGTGGGCTTTGTTCCTGGGCCGGTTCAACTTTACACTCACCTACCGGCCAGGTTCCAGGAATATCAAGCCTGATGCCCTCTCTCGCCAGTTCTCTCCCCATGTTGAGGATCCTGCTGAGGACACCATCCTGCTGTCTTCCTGTGTGGT